TCCTAGAAATTCTGTCCATGAAAGTAATGAACAGAATCGGTGATTAGATGTGGAGTTCCCTTTAAGAGTTTAATCAAAATCCAGTTCATTGCTGTAAATATTAAAACAGACCTGTAAACACAGACACAAGCAATTATATTATCATTCATCTTTTCTAGTGGTGAGCAAAAATTATGCATCAAAATATGACTTATGAATAAATTTGTGGGTGAGTAAATTCGAAATGAGTTTTTGTAATTCTAAAAAATCATTTTAAAACAGACTTTTAGACTTTAATTTAGATAAAGTGTTTTCAGTTTTGTGTTAAGTGGATGTTTCTTCATGGTCTGTAGATCAGTTTTATTTGTGGCTCATTACAACAGAGGAGTCCAGTTTCAGTATGAATCTTAATCTTAAACAGCACAAGGGAAGTGACTTGTGCACTTTTGCTAAAACTAACATACAGTAGCCTTTTTCCTTACCTAACTGCAAAACTGAAAGTTCAACATTGAAAAGAATCACTAATTGTGCTACATTAGCAAAAATAAACCATCCCTCTCCTTTATTTACCTGCAGTTACTGTGTCTGGATCCAGTCCAAGAGAGAAACTGCTGAAGTGTCCAGATGGAGTTCTGATTCTACAGCTGACTGCATCCAACTCTGCAGGAGAAGGACCACGAGGGAGACAGATCTTCTCCCAGCCTGCTTCTCCTGCAGGTTCATCGCTTGCTGCAAACCTTTTCTTTACATTAAACCTCTACACTGCAATAAATNTGGTTACATGGACAGTTTTTGTAGTGTAAGGAAATTAGTTTAAACCTCATTATTTAATTTCGACTTAAACTAACCAAGAAGTAACTGTTTTTGTTTTTTCCTTTCTGTCCCCTTTAGTCGGCTTGGTCATCGTGATTGTGTTCACAGTTACCATCTTCACAGTGATTGTGGTCAACCTGATGTGCTGGAGATGTGTCAGGAAACGGTAATAAAAAAATAACAAAAACTCCAATTGTTCCACATGAAGTGGTTTACAATTCATTTAAACATTAAACAATGATGTTTTCTCGCTTTTGAATGTTCGTAAGTTTTGTTTTCTAAGTAAGAAGGATGGAAGTCACTGTGGTTGAGTTTTTTGTGAAATGCGACACTACAGCATGGGCAGGAACTACCACCTCATTTACATAAACCAAACCCAGTGGTGGGCACCAGTCTGCTAAAGCGCAGCTAACTGCAGACCTAAATATTTCATTTGCGCTTTAGTGGTCTTACTAATCTTTATAATTCATAAGCGGACTTGTGCTTTCTAAAATTAAAATGCAGTACTGCAAATAACTAATTATCT